GCTACGGGCAATATGGTGATACAGTTATCTATCTGGTTCATTAAATTCAAGCAAATTGGAGATTTATTCTGGTTTTTAGTGATACTACTCCTCCTCTGATTGTGCTACTGATTTGCTATGAGAATCTTAGGCTAACCAAATAGATTTCATGTCTAACCATTAAATTCTGCATGTAACCACAATTATACCAAGTCATCTTTGATTCACAGACTTAATAAATTTTTTTGTCCTTCTTTGGCCCTCTAAGAGAAATGGTTTGTGCCATACTTTTTTTTAATGATGTAAAAAAAAAAAAAGAAGAAGAAACCTAATCCCCAATGTGATGGTGTTAGAAGGTGGGGGGTTTGGGGAGTGACTAGATCGTGAGGACAGAACCCTCATTAATGGGGTTGGTGCCCTTATAAACGAGGCCCTAGAGAGCTGCTTTACCCTTTTGCCATGTGAGGACACAGGGAGAAGACATTATCTATGAACCAGGAAGTGGGCCCTCACTAGACATTGAATCTACTGGCACCTTGATCTTAAACTCCCCAGCCTCCAGAACTGTGAGAAATAAATTTCTGTTGTTGATAAGCTACCTGGTACATGATATTTTGTTATAGCAACCCCAAAGGACTAAGACAAAATGAATTTACTAAATGATTTTCAACATTATCAGGAGGACTGCAAAAACAGACTCTAGGTTGAGATTTCAGGAAACACTACAGGAGCAGTCCCCAAGAAATCTGTGACTTTTCAATGGTCAGGGAGCTGCCATTTCCAGAACCACACTGGCCAATTCTGTGAACAGGAAGTTGTCTTGATGAGGAAGCCACCACTGCTGCTGGCTGTAGAATCAGGCAGAGCTGCTCTGAACTGACAAGTAGAATGGGTGCTCTAAGCCTTGCCTCAACGCTCCTGAAGCTTGTGGCTAGACACTTGGGGCTCTGATTATTTTTTTGGGGGGGAGGTACAAAGTCCCACTCTGTTGCCAGGGCTAGAGTGACAGGGCATCAGCCTAGCTCATAGCAACCTCAAATTCCTGGGCTCAAGAGCTCCTTCTGCTTCAGCCTCCCAAGTAACTGAGGCTACAGGTGAACACCACCATGCCCAGCTAATTTTTCTACTTTTTAGTAGAGGCAGGGTCTCAGTTTTGCTCAGGCTGGTCTCAAACTCCTGAGCTCAAGCAATCCTCCCTCTTCAGCCTCTCAGAGTGCTAGAATTACAGGTGTGAGCCACCGTACCTGGCCTTTGGTCCTCTGTTAATGCAGCCACAGAAAAGCCAGCACTTCCATAGTCATGCATGCCTGCAGGAGACAGCACAAGCAATAGACACCCCACCTCTGCCTTTGTGTCACCTCAGACTTCAAAAACTTGAGAGTGCATCTGATTGACAAAATGCAAATCACATCTAAAACTCTAGCTGCAATGGAATCCAGAAAATCTAGCTCTTGGTTTTCTAGACCCTGCCATTCAGGAAAGCACTCTAGAAAGAAAGCGGGATGGAGATTAAGTGCCAACCTACTATAAATATCAAACTCTATCCCTTTGACTAAACATATTCTTTCATGAATAATTAAATTGACAAACAACATTGACAGCAACAAAACATTCTCCTTTTAAATATAACATAATCATCTCTTATAAAAACAAAGCACATTCACCATCTTGCACCAAACACAGACTTAATAAATTCTTTTGTCCTTCTTTGGCCCTCTAAGAGAAATGGTTTGTGCCATACTTTTTTTTTAATGATGTCTACTTTATACTATTTATGAAGGCTAAGGAGTATCTAGCACCTTTTATAGTATATTCATTGGTGAAGTTAGCTATATTCTTTTTATAAAAAGTAAGTTAGGCACCTTCCAGAAATCTCGATGATTTAAATGAGAATATTTTGACTTGACTGTGATCACTATTTTGTATGAAGAACAAATAGGTCCTGCATTCTGTGAGACTTTTTAAAGCTTTAGTATGTTCAAATGACCACCAGTATTCAAGGCTAATATCAAGAGTTTATAAGTTTATTTCATCTACACTAAATTTAGGCATTTAAAGAAGGATCCTACTCCCTCCCCCCAAGAATCTGCATTTACCAAATTTGTCTTCCAATCCAATTGTGTTTAAGGTTATGCTATGATTATATTAAACATTTTTTCTTTTATTTCTTGCTGGAATGTGTTTTCATGTTTCTCCTGTGCCATCCTACCTTTCATATGAGGAAAAAATGTAAGGCATTGACTAACAAAGAGAAAAACATTTCTTTTCAAGGGTTTAATATGGGGAGAGACCCATTTTGATAACTCAAGGGAACCTGAATTCTGACTTTGAGGTCATATAAATAGATTTTATTGAGCTTTCTTATTTTTTCTCCACAATTAAAGATTATCAGGCCTAGGTAAATGTTTTATCATAGATTTATTGAAGTAAATCATAGAATGTTAGAACTGAATGATTCCTCAGAAATTA